TAAGGTATGTTTATGTTTTTATAATTTGTTGGTAAAATGCGTAATTTGATCGTATTCGATCTCACTTTACTTTTAAAGCTCATAAATCGCTATAATGTTGCCAATGACTAAAACTATTGCTACGAGTGAGGAGATCTAGTCGCACTGAATCGAATGGTGGTATTTTTGTCCTCATAGCATTCAATGAACCGAAGATATTAAATCGGCAAAGCGTATTGCTTACAAGCATTGCGGTAATAGGGTCGTGTCGTTAAAGAAATATACAGCTAGTTCAATAAATTTTTTGAAGTTGAAGCCGGTCAATTCAGGTAAATACTAAATAGTGATCTTATACAGTAGCTATAACGTCCCTTCCGAGTCCATTAGGCATTACTGACCCTCTCATGGTTTTAAGTATAACATATATACTGTAGCTTTATCCGGTTAACTATAAAGTCCATAGTATATAGTCGATAGTATTAGTATATGCGGGTGACTGCAGTATAATTGTCAATTGCTGAAGTTATTTACGAGTTCCATTACTTGCTTCTTCGGAGGGGTTGATATGACTAACATATTTGATCATTTTGATAGGCTAAAGTGCATGTCTATAGGCATACTTATTGACCTACATTTACAAAACAAACAATTCATGCTAAATACATGGCCTTTACTCTTTAGCGCCAATTGATATATCTATATGTTCGATCTGTGTTCACAAAGATTAGAAAATAACAAGAATTTGTTGATTTCGACCATTTGTTGATTTTGCAATAGCCTGCAATGAGTATAATGATATCTACGGAGACACGGCGGCTGTCAATTCTGGTTAATTCGTCAGTTCACTGCTGAAACGAAATCTGCATAACAAACACCAATGTTGTTTTCAATCCAAAGGAAGACAAAATATTATTTCACAATAGTTCTGCTCATTTTAGTGTTTGCCAGATTATATAAGAGGAGCACGATTTTAGCTCTCTGCATAATATGTCTTCAACCATGGCGATGTTAACTTTAATGCTCTTCTTTACTGTTTTCTTTTTTGGAGAGAGCAAGAAAAGTTCAGACTTTGTTGGACTGACCGTAAGTACTGTTTCAAATCTGCGTTAGATCAACACCGGATAATTTCCACATAATAAAATTTCAAACGCGATTGGACATTCGTAGTTGCTACCATGCAACTTTTAAAAGACTACTTAGCCTAAGTCGAATTATACACCAATGTTGGCAAATCATCGATAAAATTCTAGGCCTATATCAAAACCTTTGCAAATTTGAGGGTATATAGCTATATATTGTCTACAACAATATTTTTTGATCAACATATTGTAAGCGGGTTCTGGAGATATTTTTTGTAACACCGAGTTAAACATTACCAGTAACAAACATTGTAATAGCTTTGTGATTGATTTTCAGGGTTAACAAAAGTGTCAGTGTTTAATCACTGGCAGCAGAGAACAAACTGATTGGACTATACAGCACTGTTAGGAACTGACAAATATACTTAATATACGTCACGCATGCTATCCGGTAAAGTGAACAATCTAACATTTTTCAAGATTATATAGGCGGGGATACCATGTTGAAGGCCGTTGAAGTCGTTATCCTCTCACCCAACTATTTTCGCTGTATATGCATATAGCGTGGTGCATTTAGACAAGAACTAAAAACGTTAGTATAATTATGGCGCATTGGCATGATATTGTCCTAATACTAATTATTTCACTTTTACTTCTGAACCTTTAGCTTGATACAGAAAAGCCAATAGATCCAGGACAATGTGGTAAATTTAATCATGGCGAAATGAAACTTGTTCAAGACAGACTTGGTGCAGATAGAGTACTCATATGTACAGATAAAAACTCCATGTTTTTATGGAAAACCATTGACGGTAGGTTGTGACGCATGTTACATCAGATTCTTACACCACAAATAGTCATGGGAAACGATCACCCTGTTTATTGATATCCCTACAAACAGTTAAGCATTGTATAATTCAAATAAAATGATTGTCGTATACTCAATACGAAAATGATTTTGTATTTAATTAAATACAGTATAGATGACCAACTCTGCATGCCCTGCAAAAAGCCCTGTGTAGTAACAACGACGTTATAAGGCATTGTTTTATTCCAGGAAGTTCCACTATCGGCGAATACTTCGATCCTGCCCTTGACTGCTCAGATGTTGTTGATAGAGTTCCTGCAGCTACTGATGGATTTTACTGGATAAATTCAAAAGCTTTACCCAACGTTTCAAAGGTTTGTAATGGTACAGATTGTTTTTCTGTTTGTTTTTTTACTTGGGAAATATTATGTTGTGTCCATATGTATCTGTAGATTGCGAACTGAATTGTGGATGTTTATATACCTTGTTCAAAATAGAAATTCGAGTTCGCCTTGTATACGTTTTCAGGCATCGCGTTTACTTGTGCCCAGTCTCTTTGCCCGAGTTCTGTATTGTCGAGATCTCGATTTTGTGTCTGTCTGCATTCCTCGTACCCAGGCGCTATGTGTTGTTCTAGGCTTGCGCGGCCTTTGCGTGGGCCGCGTGGATTAATTTGATCGATTTCGTCTTGTCTGTCTGTCTGTCTGTCTGTCTGTCTGTCTGTCTGTCTGTCTGTCTGTCTGTCTGTCTGTCTGTCTGTCTGTCTGTCTGTCTGTCTGTCTGTCTGTCTGTCTGTCTGTCTGTGAACTGTGAACTGTGTCTATGAACCACTCTCTGTAGCCGAGAAAATTGTAAAGATCTGTGAACAGATCGAACAACGATCACCAAAAACTACAGCGGCTATATCGGAATTAATTAACTGCCTGGCACGATTCCATTGAACTTGATCAAAAGCGGAAAGAGGTTAATAAAATCATCCATTCATTCGCCAAATCGCGAAACTGGCAAATAATTTCGCATGAAAATATAGACTCGAACTGTCTAAACAAAAGGAAATTACATCTTAATCCGCGTGGAACAATCAGCTTAGCAAAAAATTTTAAAAACTATTTGTCTAATTTAAATAATTGAGATAGAGATAGAAGCGATGATGTTTATATGGCTGACAAACTTGATCTCCCACAGGTAAGAGGTTTTAAAATGGTCTCATTAAATATTAGCCAGTTTACCAGTACACATTGACGAATTTCGAACATGGCTTGACAACAAGAACATAGACGTAATAGCACTTAACGAAACAAGACTGGACAACACTTTGTCCACAAACCAACTTAAAATAAACAACTATGAACTTGTTAGAAAAGACCGAAATCGCTATGGGGGAGGAGTATGTATATATATAAAAAGTCATGTCAATTATAGAGTTCGACATGATTTAATTAATCCAGATATTGAAGCTATAATTATCGAAATTATAAAACCAAACAGCAAACCATTTGCGATTGTTGCATCGTATAGGCTACCGGAATTTTCTCCTGAGTTATTCTTTGACCAAATGACGACTATAATCAAACACCTTGAGCACGAGTCAAAAGATATATTTATATTCGGTGATCTAAACTGTGACTTATTAAGTGACAGGTCTCATAGAGCAACTTCGCTTTTAAATTCATTTGCGCAAATTTATCAGCTTCAGCAACTTATTGACGAACCTACAAGATGTAGTGCAAGCACCAGAACATTAATTGATGTCGTTTACACAAATTGTCCCAGTAAAGTGGCTGCATCTGGTGTTATACGCTTAGGAATAAGTGACCATGATCTTATTTATGCCATACGGAAAGTAGCTATAAAGCCTATGATGAACAAACATATGCATAAAGTGGTCAATATAAGAAATATGAAGTATAATAGCTTTATAAATGACCTAAGTAATATTCCCTGGTCAAATTTAGATTGTCTTTTAAATGTTAACGACCGGTGGGATTTATGGAAAAAAATATTCATGACTGTAGTAGATAAACATGCGCCATTCAAAAGCAAGCGAGTACGAAATAAAAACAATCCAGCCTTGGATGACTCCTGAAATAAAAACACTTTTGATAAATCGTGACAAACTAAAAAGAAAAGCGGTGATTTCTAATGATACAGATAATTGGCTTCACTTTAAACTTGCCCGAAATAAGTGTAATAATATGCTGAAAGAAGCAAAAAGAGATTACTATCACCGGTTGTTTGCAGTCAACAAAGGAAATACCAAAGAAATTTGGAATACAATAAATGAGTTAATGTCCCGAAGCTCGAAATCTCAAAATATTTCTATTAATAAACAAAAAAGTAGTCACAAACAATACTGAAATAGCTGAATGTTTAAACCAATATTTTGCTGAAATAGGGTCCAAATTAACAAACAACGTATCACAATCTACCAATGGCAAAGCTTTTCATCATTATGTGCAACCAGCTGCCACTGGAACGATGTTTATATTACGCGCAACTACTTCGGATGAAGTTATTAAATTAATTTCCTCAATATCTGATAAGAAAGCTACAGGTCTAGATCAAATTCCGAGTAAATTACTTAAACTCTCTGCACCTATAGTTTCGAAATCATTGTGTGATATTTTTAATTTATCCATTCAAACAGCAATATTCCCTGATGACTGGAAATTGGCGAAAGTATCCCTATATACAAGGGCGATGCAAAAGATAATGTAGGGAATTACAGACCAATTTCAGTTTTAAGTGCGATTTCTAAGGTTTTCGAGCGTCTGTATTGTTTTTGATCAGCTTTACACCTATATCAATGAAAACAATCTGTTACACAGAATCAATCAGGCTTTAGGAAGTGCCACTCTACTATGACTTGTAGACAAACTCACAATCTGAATGTTGTTTTGCGATAAATGTATTTCTAACTAAAAAAATTTTACAACAACAACATGTTATATGTCATGCAAATTTGAATAAATCTAAATAACCTAAATTGTCTATTGTCCTAAATTGAATATAAACCAACTAATGTCAAAAACACTATTAATTAACGACCTATTAATGACACTCCCACTTTTTTGACATTTTTAAATGTTAAACAGTTAAACAGTGTCGCATGTAGATATCCTCATTTAACCGACCGTTAAGAAAAGCAGTAACAACGTCCATTTGATGAATAACCATGTTGTTCTGGACTGCAAATGCGAACAATGTTCGTATCGACGAAAAGCGTACTACAGGTGAAAACGTTTCATCGTAATCAATTCCTTACTTCTGGGCATATCCTTTGGCAACTAGTCGCGCTTTGAAACGATTTACTCTTCCATCAGAATCGTGCTTTTAATTTAATTTAAAAACTTTAACATCTCCCAAAAGGGCTTTTCAGATATTAATTACAAATGTCTAGACGAAGTCAATATTAATGTTAATAGATAACTAGTTAAAAACTAAGAGTCGTTTAAAAATTGTTTAAACAGATATGTTTTTAATGCTATTTTAAAACTTTTCACACTCTTTAAATTATTCGCGGATTTAACATTGTTAGGCAAGTCATTCCACAACTTTACTGCTCTGAACAAAAATGAGCGTTGACCTGTCGCTGTTCGATACAAAGGCACATTCAGAGTATCCTTATTTCTTGTGACACGTCATCACTTCGCTCTGGATACCCATCTGCAACCAATAGCTGTTCGACCAGGTGGCAACTGTACAAGTCTCCAGGTCTTGTTTTCCATCAGTGAATTGTATTCTATGTCAGCAGCAGCCATCCATCCTTTCGAGTGTTGGTTTTCTTTAGCTTCGCTCATGGACGAGGGTTCTTCTACCGTATCTCACATACATTGTAAGCGACATGACGTGCGGGATGTACAGGACTAGCAGTCTCTGCATACTCGTCGTATCCATATCTGACAGGGGCTTTCCGTGTTCTACCGAAGTCCTTGGTTCTGTGGATACTTCTTCTCCCACTTTTTCTTCTTCGAATTCCACCGTTTCTTCTTTCACGTCTTCTGTCGTTTGATCTTGAGATTTTGTCGTCATCATTTCATCCTTGTCGCCAAAATCGTTTTCATTGAACTCGACATCCCTTCGGACGACCATCTTTCGCTTGATTTCATCGAACAAACGGTATCCTTTCGATGTACGACAATATCCAACAAAGCGTAGTCT